GCATGAACTTGTAGACATCTTGCACAATCTTCAACATAAGGAATCATGAAAGTGCTATACAAGGCTGGAGACCAAAGGAACCTGAAAACTCTCAGGGTACAGGCTGAAGTTGTAGGCAAAAGCCCTAATTAGCAGATAGTGGACTCCGAATGGCGAGGTTACGCTTAGCCTGCTTCTAGGCAGGCTGGCAATGGAAAAAGCATACTTGTCCGAACAGCAAACAGAACTACTTCCCTACCAAAGCAGGAATTCCTTTATTCAGTTGATCATTTGTCAGAGTGACAGGCCCCTAAGACAAAATCTGGGATGCTCACTTAGGAACAATTCAGCACTAAAAAAATTTTTTTAAACATGACTTAAACCTGGAGTGAGGAAGACAGTGGGAGGGGGAATGTCAAAGAAGTGGTGATTTTTTGATAAGGATGCAAATGTACCATCTTTAGTTAAAGACTAATTATGTTTAAAGTAAGTCTGCTACCTTCCAGTTCAGATAGATCATGGGGAAACTGATTTTATAAAGGAAACACCTAGCTGTATATCTAGCTAGTTATGTCAACACTTGTGACACAGGTTCTCCAAAGAAAAATAGTTGTCTTTCATTGCTAAGCTGGAATTACGCTGAAGGTTTTGAAAGATATCATGTAGCTGCTGTTTCTCAGAGAGCATATGTCAGAAGTACACTTGGATGATTCCTGTACCCTCCTAAATTCCAGTATGCAATTCTGAGCACGCAACGGTGGCTAAAGTGACTGGTTAAGTCAGTCATGACACAGCCACAGAATATGAAGTCACTGTTAACTGTTCAGGATCCGGATTTTGAAAAAATCAGAAGTTCATTCCTGACCAGAAACGTTGAAACTTGAGATATCAGCAGACCTGATTTTGACAACAAACAGATCTTGAGACCAGCCTGATCCCATGTTAAGCATTAAATCTGTGTTTATATGACAACAGTGAAAGAATAAAAGGTCTACAAAAAAAAGCATAATACATTCTTGAAGGGTGCTTGATGCTATGAAGCTGTGAAGGCAGACAGAATGGCACGTGCAAGTTGTTTAGAGTAACATGAGACTCCAGTGAGGGCATGAACTTGCAGGTGAAAACAGTCTTAATGTAGGTAAACATTAGAAATTATGCAAAGAGATCAATCCTGCTGATGATCCTCCTACTATGCTTTGAATGGCAATTCAGAAAGACTGCTGCTAATCTGTATGCAAAGCCCGAGTAATTAATTTAACACGCAAAAGAGCTGACTTCACCGCTTAAAGCCTGAAAGAAAGCTGAATGCCTGGGCCACTTTGTTCAAAACAGTTCCAAAAATGAGGTGCCAAAAAATGGGTGGCAAAGCTGGAGAACAGATATGAGTACTGTCTGAATTGTCAGAGGAAAGGCTTGGAAATTTTACTATAACTGGGTTATGCAAAGACTGCTTAAAAAAAGCACGCAAGAAATTTGTAAAAACTGTCAGAAAACAAACTTCACTGTCCCAAATGGAAGATATGCAGTTCAAAGCTAAATTATTCAGAAGTTAATTATCAACACTACTTTGACCTAGTCTATTGGGTATGTGGGTAGATGCAACAGAAGTAGGAGAGGACACTGCTTTAAAGCCTGTGGAAGTTCTGTTAATTATCATTTATCGTCACTGGCAATAATACTTATTGGCTGCAGCCCACTGTTGGTCACGAAACCGAAGAGCTGGAACTGGCTGTGCTCTTATAGGGCATTTTGAGCTTACAGTTAGTTCCTTTGGGTCTGGACGTTACAAATCACGTTCAGAAACCTGGCCGTGAACATACCTTTATCAATATAACACAGAAAAGGTAGCAGAGGAGAAAGAACGCTCAAGACATTTCGAGGATAAGAATAATAAGTAAAATTCACAAATCCGATTCAAGGAAAACAGGAGAGGAAGAGACCTGTATATAATAGGTACATATATAATAGATGCATTTATTTACATACATGCATTTATAATATAAATAGGGTGATTTTTTTTCAAAAGTTCATCATCATACTATTTACTAGTTTTCTCAATAAAGATAGATAACACGGTTACAAGGCAATCTCTGGATTATCAGAAATTTCCTTTTCTCCACTCTCTGAATTTAAGAAATAATCCAGGCAATAGTAATTGTGAGCTGACTTTTCAATGGCTTTTGCTGTATTCAGGCACTTAACCTCTTTCAGAAATGCAAATTGTTCCTTCTTAATACAGTCATCTCTGACAAATGCAAAAACTGGGGTTTTTACACTCACTAAAACTAAGAGCACATGCAAGTGTGTTCTCTCAAGACTAAGAGAACTAGACTTTAAGTAAATATTTTCAAACAAATGCACAGCAAAATAAACTTGCTGATAATGACAAAGTAATGCAAAATAAAAATGTAATCTTTCTCTTTTCAAACAATTTCAGGTAGTAGTAATTGGTATCTCTACCTAGAGTAGATATACAACTGTAGGTAATAAGAATTAGACATACAGGAGCAGATACTTGCAGTACATAAGCAACAATGTTTTTTTCTTACATTAGTATAGCTAGTGTATTCGTATAGTTGAGCATTAATACAGTTGAGCATTTTCTTGAATAAAAATATTTATATTTTTATGTGTCTGCACAATCTGGCTCTTTTCCAGTAACAGTAATAGCCATTAATTTATATACAAGTGATTGTCGCATTTGAATTGCTGCAAACCATTAAAGTGACATCAAAAACATCTTAAACCTAAATGTTTACCTTTACAGCATGTCATAACTGTTCTTCACAAAAAGTTTAAAACTCTACACCGTCTAAATATGGTTCACTCAGTTCTGCTGAATGTCTGGGAAACCTGAAACTAAGAGCCATTTCCTTAAAATGAATTTTGTCCCTCCTTTTCATCCACAGATGTACTCGGATATCTGCGGATAGCTTATGCCACATTATCCATAGTGCCCTAGATGTCAGAATGAACACAGGTAGTTCCTCTCTCTTTGTACTCTCTGAAGAACACAAGCATACTTTAGCACCTTAGATGAGGAGAGAACTGAGTATGGATGCTGCCGATACTGCTAACAGCCTAAAAACAAACAAAAAATAGGGTGGATGCATAAAAACAACCTTTGTGTCAGGTTAGCTCTTCTTGAAGGATTACTGATGCTTGCAAGTGGCATGTAGGTGAAAGAAGAAACCCCCTCTCTGCTTGCATCCTCAGAACTCTAAATGCAGTTGAATTTTCCCTAGTATAATTCCTGTAGGACATCTACCCATCTGCTAAGCAGTCCTGTCCTTTTTACTATTCAAAGCTCATGAGGTTAACACCACGCCATTTTAGTAACACATTTAACACCTCAATCTCAAATTCTGCTTCCATAAAACCTTCATATCACGAGAATTATTACATTTGGAGAATTTAGTTCAGACTTAGTCCAGCATGTCAACCCATGAAATTTCACTGTTAGTACAGTGTCATTAAAGGGGTGTGCTTACTAAGTTATGTGTGAACAGCTAGAAACTCTGGCCTCCTAGGTTTCAGTAGCATGCCACAGCACAGGAAACGGTTTCTAAAACTAGTCACCATTAAACATATGGCAAAAAACACTTCTATTTTTTTGAATATCCTACACACATTACTAATATGATTAATAATATTAAACAGTTTTGGCCTGAGGGAAGTTTTATGATTGACAAGCGTTATTATCTGTATTTCACAGTCGAGGAACCTAAGGTCCAATGTACTGATAAACTTTCATGTTCCAGCATGTGTTTTATTCATTGCTATTCCCTAAGTTGCTGACTCAGCTGTACCTCATACACAAACAGCACCACGTCAGTTACTCCATTTGTACTATAAATTATGCATTCATTTTTCATTTACTGCTACATAAAGAATGTACACTTTCAAATTGAAATACATGATTTCAGTTACATACTTTAGACCTTGCAACCTCTTCCCCAGGCATATTCACATTCACAGCCAAGAGCAATCGAGGAGCTGTTATATATTGACATATGTATTAGGTAGAGTGAAGCTCAACTGCTAAAACTGCCCAAATGTTGGAACTTGAGGCGGAGGGCAGTAACTCTTGATTAAGGGTCCTTAATGTTTATCTCCCTCCATCCCTTTGTGATAGTTCTTGCACTGAAATAGCCAGACAGCTTTGTGATACCAAGCAGGAATTGTTCAACACACCCAACAGATGAAATGATGGCAAAATACGGACCAGAGAGGTGGTCAGGCAAGTAGCACTGGGTGGCCACAGTTCCCTGCTTGAAGCTCACATTTCCTGCACTCCCTTTGTCATTTATTCTACTACTGAAATTTATCTGCAGCATTTGTTTTATCAGATGTTTTATGCAGAGACTACAAAGTCTAGATAGATAACGTTTGAAAGTTTTGTCTCAAGCATATTCCAATATCCCCACTAAATTCATTTTTTTAATTATATTTTGGCGTTTTCAAATATAACATTTTCCAGAGAGTGGTCAGCTTATAGCGTGAAATACTTACATTGTTTTATTCATTTCTTCACTTTGGATCTTGTGGTGTTTGCACAACAACAGTGCAAAAGACTTAAGGAGATGTTTTCCAAATAGTAACACTTCCAGGTCAAAAATTAGCCAGGAAATAATTTGCTCTGCTCTTACATATTGTACTTACACTCTTTCCTCATCCTTATCCCAAAATAAGTTATTACTGATGGTTATTTTTGTGATAACAAATAAATATTGTAAACGTAGGGTCTGTATACCCGAAGTGCTGAGCACCAACCGTTTCTGTTAATGGCAGTTACTCCCCTTGACTTCAAGAATGCAGAAACTTGCCTATTCTGAACATATCCAACAGTTCCATTCATCAAGACTAGTGCTGCTTATTTGGAATATCAACACTAGATGAATTAGGAAAAATGTCTTACCTTTGCCTGCTGTCGCCAGGAACAAATGAAGTAAAAGGACAGCTAGAGCAATCCTGAATTTCAATACAATGTCCTGGATTCTGCCAACACAGCAGTGCTGCTTTCCCCAAGCAACCATTCTAGGAGAAATAAGAAAACACAGTCTGTCACTGTGTTACACTGCAATTAGAAAAAGCACAAAAGTGTAAATATTATGACCAAAAAAAAGTTTCCAACTCAGGAACATAGATCTTCTCAATTCCATTATATTACTGGGTATACATTATACTCAAATGTGCCTACGCTCTAACGTTGCCAAGTCACCCAGAAAGGAGAAAAAGTAAAAAAGTAAAAACAACACTTAAGCTGTAATCCTCTAAAGACTCACAAGCGTATCAGAGCAGGGCCCTGAGCCCTTGCATGACAAAGGCTTCCAACATTAAAAAGAATAAAGTGCTTACCCAAAAGCTAAGATAATTTCAGTAAGTGTATAGGAAGAGGCTCTATGGTCCCCTCTCTGGGAGTTCTATCAGCTGATATTTTAACGTCAGAAGTTCTAACTTGACCATTTTAAGTTTGGTCTGTGCATGAGTGGACTGGTTAGCACTGAAAGAAGTTTAGGATCATACTACTTGCAAATTTTACTGTATTTTTGCATAGTTTCTATCAGGCTGCAACAGGTTCCCTTCTTTTCAGGGAATATAGAACTCTACATTCATTTAAGGTTAAAGCTAAAATATATTTTTTGCAAGCATTCACACTAATATAAATATTAGCATAAAATGGTTACTACGGGCTAAATTAATCAAAAGAAGTTTTAGGGGAATAGGTTGAGAAACATAAGTCAGTGAAGCTGCTAGGTACTCAACACTTTGGAAAACAATTAAATCTACAGGCAAATAAGTTATACACATATAACAAAGCGACACAGAAAATAAAGCAAAGACTCTTTAAAAGTTAGAGCAGTGCGACATTACTGTCAGTCAATAGTTACACAGATATCTATTTCTAGCAGAAGTAGCAGCTCATACAGACTGAGCTGAAGGAAACTGATAGGGATGATGACACTGCACTCTATACTGTTCCCATTTTCTGGATGCCACTCTTATAATACCAAAATTTTCTAAGGGAATAACCATCATAAATCTGTTGCAACTTAGAAGGAACTGAGCACTGTAACATCATGGATGACATTTACATGGATGCTGCAGATGTTAACCAGCAGGAAGAAGGGTTCTTGATAAAAAGATCTCAGAACACTAGCATTTCTCAAACAGAGAGAAAATAAACAGTATGCTAACTGAGTTAACTAATACAAATAAGCCTACGTAGGAATGAAGCAAAAGCAAAACCAAGCAAAAGAGAAGTAAAAAATGGAAGTAAGCCAGCTTTCCAAAGATTCACAAGAAAGGTGTCCTATCACACATTTTCCAAACTAACGTTCAGCTTGCTTCTCTTGAATGCCTAAAAATAATTAAAGTTTCAGTCAGTAAACTAAGCAGTCGAATTACACTAATTATCCCAAGAATGTGATAAGGAAAATCTCTGTGCTTAGCATTTCTAGACTTCAAATTACAAATGACCTGACAACTGCAAGGTTCTTTCATCTACAGTATAATTTATTAGTGTTAAAAAAGATTCCCATTCAGAATCACAGAATCACAGAATGGTTGAGGTTGGAAGGGACCTCTGGAGATCATCTAGTCCAACCCCTCCTGCTCATGCAGGGTCCTCTAGAGCACATTGTCCAGGATCGTGTCCAGGCGGGTTTTGAATATCTCCAGAGAAGGAGACTCCACTACCTCTCTGGGCAACCTGTGCCAGTGCTCTGTCACCCTCACAGTGAAGAAGTTTTTCCTCAGGTTCAGATGGAACTTCCTGTGGTTCAGTTTGTGCCCATTGCCTCTTGTCCTGT